AAAACTTTGAATAGCTAAAAAACAATATAGTTCTTTAAATCCTAATTTGACAACAATTGTTTTATATATTCTCATGGACATTATTTCAATCATAACGAATTTTCATAATTGACATATAATAATCATGAATTCTGTTTATAATTGTTATACGTATTCAAGTTTCTTTATTGAAGTTAATCATGAAAGTTCTTTGTTTACAATTATTATACATGTATATTTATTTTATTAGTTAATTGCATAACCTGTTGGGTGGTTGCCCACTTTCCCGAAGTCCATGTTTCTGAAATACCATTTCACCAAAGTTGTAATACTGACAATCCATTTTACTAACAAAGCAGAAATAGATCTGTGTTATTTCACTGAATATTAATTAACTGACAAGTTTATTTCACCGACAGTTATTTTACTGACAAAGTTATTGTCGTTAAAGTCAGGTTTAGAATTAGATTTAAGCTTAGTGCAATTTTTAAAAAACCTGTCAGTAAAATTAGTAAAATATACTTATCAGTTAATTGATTTTCTGTGAAATGATATCAACCTATTTCTGTCCTGCTAGCAAAATGGATTTTTAGTATTATGACTTCAGAACCAGATCGTTGGGTGCTTTGAAGCAAAATATTCGGCTCTTCACCTTAGTATTTATCCATTGTCTGATCGCTGTTTGTAATGTGTATTATAATTGTCTTTTGTCTTTATAGCATGATCATTTATAAAACACTCATGAGTGATCCATGATATGCATCGCTAATAATAGTTAAACAATAGATATCTACTTAGAGAAAGAACTGAATGCTTTGCATGAAAACATATAAAAATTAAAAAAAAACATAAGAATTATTGTAAGGTGCATATTATAAAAATCTGATTGTAATAAGTTAAAGATTATTAATTCGTATTTACTGGATACACATAATAATTATTGATACATAGCTATTCAAGATATAGAATGTAAATATTTTTATTATTACTGTATGGCGCTAGCTACAGTACCTGGGATACTATTCAAAAACTATTACATTTCTTGAATAATATCCACCCAGATGCTATTTACGGTAAAGGGTGTTACGACCAGGGAAATACTTTATATCAACACAGCCAATTTAACTTAGAGTCGTAAGCATTAAAATAGGGAAGCAGTATTTATTATTTATGCACAAGATACTGAAGTAATGAATATCTCTAACCGACTCACCAACCTACTAATTTCCCCACTCACTAAAACTAAAAAGATCCAAAAAGACTAACCAACCAGTGTTCTATAATCCTCTATTTATATTGTCTATTAGACTTTAATTAGCTATTATGCAAAATGTAAAGTATAAGCTAATTCTATAAAATGTCATAATGATTGACAAAGTATATATTCGATCATTACTTAATTATAAGATCGAAAAGCATTGCAAGCATGTTCAAATTGGAATCATCCAGTCTGGTACACCAGAGATGAATTTTATTTGATGAATGCATTTTACATTATATAGTTGTAAATTATGCGTAATTAAACTGAGAAGGTATATGCATTTGGAAATAGCAATTAATATTGCACTAGGGATCACTGTAAGCAGTTAAGATTGTGTGGCCTGGCACTGGCCGGTGGTTTCCCGCCTGCATGATGCAGGCCGGTCGTTAATACAAACATGTGATAAAGATATTCAGTAGCCATAATTCTGAAATGTGATTATGAGAATGCGATTATGAAAATGGCAGGTTCCATTGGGAGGGAGGGATCAGGTAGCGAATTGTGGTCTACAGTTAAGGAGGCGCCGTGTCTTGGTCTTTGTTCTTATGCGGTCTTTATTGGATTAATGATTGCTGTATCCATAAGGTTATTATATCATACTCATCTGAATCTTCTTATGCAAATACTGCCTCTGAGCTTGATTGTGCCAATTCAGTCTTGTTCATCCACAGGTATCACAATGTTACCTTCCTCTGCTTATCTTCTTTTCGATCTATTGACTTGCATTGATTTGAAAAACTATTATAAAGTTACACAAAAAAAGTATAATTGTTAACTTTGCCATACTATTTTTCGTAACAATCAAATCCATTCTTTATATGACTTCAATATAAATTTAATATTTCTAGAATAATATTCAGTCTTCTTTAATTTTTTGAATCGTAACTTTATAAATTGTATCTGGATCTTTTTTTTTACAGGATATTATAGCAAAGATACTGTAATTAGTGTCATACAATACATTAGTGTATAAGTTAGTCACACATGGATTCATATTTAAATTACATAGTTGAAGGCTACGTGGTTTAGATATATACCATATGATAACTATATTATCGTACGGGTCTGATGTAACAACCCGTGCATCACTTCTTTTAACAACCTATTTAATTATTTAAATTATTTTTATTTATAATTACTTTTTTTCTCCTTGTTCATGAAATTTCTGACACATTTAAGTTTAGTTTTTTGTTCTAGAATATCAAACAAAAGCCTTACGATCAACAACAGCCTTCCAGTTAATGATTTGAAAGTCCAACAGTTAATAAATCACTTATTTGTAATATTATCAGTTTCACCAATATCACCAATTTTACTAATATCACCAATTTCAACAATATCACCTGTTTTACCAATATCACCAGTTTTACTAATGTCATCAGTTTCACAATATCACCAGTTTCACCAATATTACCAGTTTTACTAATGTTACCAGTTTCACCAATATCACTAGTTTTACCAATATCACCAATTTCACCAATATCACCAGTTTCACCAATATCACCAGTTTCACTATTTTATTTTTTAAAATATATCATGATGTACCAGTTTTACCAATTCATCTGGTGAAATTAATTAGTTTCATCTGCAGCTCTAGTCTGAATGCAACTTGTAATGTTGAATCTTGAGATGTTTTTTGGATGGGTTGTGAATTTTTCTACAAATTAAGTCTTTTGTAATTATCCAGTTTTTTTTGTTAGGTGTCCAGTTGGTTGCGATATATGGATTTACTTCTG